AGTAATAGTATGATGAAAATCTTGTAATATATATTTTCATGAGATGGAAAAAATTGTTTCTTTCCATTTTCATTATCACAACTGAGATCTTATGTTTTAACTATAATAACTACAGGAGTAAGGGGGAATGTTCAAAGGAGACCCAGTTGTTCAGGAAAAATACCAATGAAAACAGAAGTTTGTGTTAAGGCAGATTGTGATTCTCTATGCAAAAAGAAGACTAAAGGAGCAGTGGGTCTATGCATGAATTATGGTTCCGAAGGAAAGGGTATGTGCAGGTGTTGTGGCTCGTCTATTGGTTAATAGCGTTGTTACCAAATTATTTACATTAAAACTTATATAATACTAGATATCTGTGCACATACGCACGGTTTTCTGCAATAATTTTTTTTTTTTGATAAATAAAGAGATAGTTGTTTTAAAATCTTTCTATGTAACCCAAAACAAATCTCTTTTTTTGTTTGATTGTAAGACGGAGAAAATTTCTTATCATCTTCCATTGTTTTAAAAGCGAAAGAGTTAATAACAATAAAAAAATTTCAACCAAAAAGTTGAAAGATGAGGATATGGTAGCATTCACTCTGTTCTTTGATTTCAAAAGCTTAAAGGTGATACAACCGTTAAAATTATCAAAACATTAGGAGAGCTCGGTTTTCTCATCTCACCTCCCTTATTAGTTATGGTTTCCATCTCGTTATCTTGTTCAATTCTTGAGTTTCTCTTGTCGGCAGTACAGAAGGTGAGGCATGAACCTAAAACTTTTCAAGCGAAGTTAAATACCAAATCATGAGAACTCATAAAAACAATTGAGTAAACAATGTAAACCATCATTCCATCATTTTATTATTCAACCATTCATCATACTTGTATGAATTCTCTTATGATCTTCAAATTTAATGATAATGATCAAATCCATTAAAGAAACTTAAGACAACAATAGCTCGAAGCTCACCATTTTTGCAAGAAATTTGTAATCTCGAATTTTTCCATGGATGCAATGTGTCCCATTATATATTCGATAGAGGGATTAAAAATCATCACATATAACTAACTCTAAAATACATTTATTTAGATGGTTTATATATTTGTAGAGATTAAACGGTGATCCACTCAGGTTTGTGAATGATAAGCTTACCAGAGGTCAGAAGAAATATCTTGTTCGCACATCATCAGCACATCATCAGCGCTGAACTTTGTAACGAAAAATGAATTGTACTTGAAATTCAAAGACAATTAAAAACTTGAACCAGAAGCTTAAGCATGACATCAACCTTGGCCCCAAGCTCATTGGTGATCAAAGTGCTATATATGTATATATATACCATATCCGGAGTTCCAAAGAGATTGATCACACGCTTGTGAATACGTATGTCAAATATGTCCCATGACTAGGAAACTGACAAGATTGTGGCATACAATCCAATGATAAACTCAAGCACAGTCCGATTTTGAATCACAAAAAGCATTTGTAAGCATTATCCAGCACATAATCTAGTGTAAAAGTATTTGCAATCAAATACACACTATGCAAATTTATTAAATAACGAAGGGATATTGATTACCGGCCTTCACCACAAAGAGATTTTTTTGTAGTAATTTTACGTATTTTAGTTGGCTTTCGTACTGGTCCTTTCACTCTCAGTCTCTTGTCTTAGCACCATGGTCTGTGAACACTAACCATCACAACACAAACATAGAATAAGAAACTAAAAGTGCTAATATTCATGTTACATATTATACTACTAAGCCTACAAACAAATCCTAATAGGTGAACAAACTGCATATGGACCCTTTAACGATCCTATTGAAACAGAGCTATCCTCCAAAAATGCTAACATAAACTGATTAAGAAAGAAGATGAAACGAATATTCTCCGAACCTTTCTCAAAGTTTTTGATGTTCTCAAATCTTTAAAATCCTCGAAACATGTCTTCCTTGCTTCATCGGTGGTGCGTACGCCATAGCTTTCTCCTATTTTCCAAGTTCCTTAAGCTAAGATGATATGCCAACAA